TGGAAATTAATCTATTAATTCACAATATGGTAATAATTGTAGAGACATGATATAGGGATAATATTTTTATTATAATTTTTTATATAATAATAATAATTATTAAATAAAAATTTATTTCTTTTTTTTTTTCCCCTTCTCTTTCCCTTCTCTTTCTCTTTCTCTTCCCCCTGCTTACCGGGTTCGAAGGAACCAATGCTGGGTTCAACTCAGCACGCCTGGGTTTGATGGAACCCAGGCGCAAGTTCTTTTTCCCTTCTCATTTTCTTCTTCTTCTTTTTTTCTTCTGTTTCTTGTGTGGCTTCTGCTTGCTTGAATTTCAAGATTTAGCTATTGTGGGTGTTGATTGAAGGGATGTTGTGTTTTTTGCATTTTCCTTTTCTTACAAATTTGGTATAAGTTTGCAGTATAATTGATTTTTTAAATATTTATAGATCTGGTATAAGTTTGTAGTGTAATTGATTTTTTGAATAAGATTTATTGGCCATTATTATTGTGCGAGAAACCAAATTTGGGTTCCATTAGGGAGGAGGTTTGGGAAAAAAAGGAAAGATTTGGTGAAGAAGGAGAGGTTTGGTGATTCAGATTCCATTTTCCTTTTGGTGATCATATGTTGATCGGTGTGGTAAGGGATGACCGGAGCAATGAGGGATGATCGGTGCTGAGTGGGTTGCAAGATGAAGAGGCATCAGAGGATAGAGAAAGAGAGAAAGGAGAAAAAGAGGGGTTGGAAAATGAAGATGGGGGTTTTTAAGGAATTTTAAAATATAAATTAATTAAAATGATATGGATAACAAAAATGACAAGTTGGGTTAAGTTATTTTCCACGTCATTAAAGATTTAAAACAAGAATTGATTTCGTGGCAACTTAACGTTCCATCTGGCACTTCCATTGATGGAAGGACAAAATTGGTCCAAAAAACTGAAGTTTAGGGATTTTTTTAGTACTTTTTGAAGTTCGAGGGTAAATTTAGCCCAAAAATGGAAGTTCAAGGACTGAGCCGGGGATTTAACCGAATTTCGATAGCCTCAATGTTTTTTTTGTTTTGTAGATTGTAGCCTGTAGCTTGATTGCTTTATGGGAAAAACTTTTTGTTTTTAACTCTTCTTCAGTTTATGGGAGAGCGATCCCATGTGTTGGATTCTAAGTCAGTGCATCCATTCCAAACAACTTGGAATTTTTCTACACTGAAAGCAAACCCCTTTCCCAAATGTCCAATAGTAAATGAGAAAAGCCCATCAGATGGTACAAAAGTCTCCATAATTTACTCAGTCCACAGCTGTGCTTGCTTGACAAAAAGAAGAAAGTCCCCACGCGCTCCTCCTCTTCTTCTTCTTCCTCTGTGGTTGTTTTAAATCTAAGATCCATGATTTAATTCTGGGTGTTTTAGCAGGCCGATCAACCCCAACCCCAAGAGTAGAATTCCTTGTTCTGTTTTTGGGTTTGTGTTTTTGACAGAGAAAGAAAGGAAGAGAAATGAGGTTTGTGGGAGTCCCAGAAAATGAGAATGGAGAAATGGGTGTTTCTCTGGGAAGCAAAAACAAGTACAGGAGAATGGATTCTGAGCACTCAGAGGATTTTGATGAGGCTGTAAATCATCTTCATCAGCTGGAGAGGAGGAGGAGGAGGACCAGGAAATATGTTCTTGCCTGCGCCGTTTTTGCATCTCTGACTAATGTTCTTCTTGGCTATGGTAAGCCTTCCTGTTTTCATCTCTACATGAATGTATTGGGGATAAATTCTTTTGTTCTTGCTGTTGTTGTCATGATTTCTAAAAGATCTGCTTGCTTTGGTTGCCTGACGGCTACTTTGTTAATGGAATTAGTTACTGGTTCTTTCTGATTGAAGTCCTTGAAGTGTTTTAATAGATTACGCTACTATCCATTTCCCTCCCCCCCACTTCCCCTCCCACCCCCCCTTGCTATTTTTTCATGAATGTACACAACCAAAGGAAAGTGGAAAGATTCATCTTAATAATGCTGAAACAGGAGGGCTTTCTAATTTACTTTTCAATGGAGTGAGTTTTCTTAATAATGATGCTTCATTGACCTGAGAACAATAAAGATTTAAGCCCATTCTTTTTATTTATCACTACATTTATATAACTCTTGCTTTGATCTAACAATTGATCACTGTCCCTTGAAATAATTTCCTTGAAATTTTTTAAAATTGAATTTGTTAATTAGAACAAATGGAAGCTATGAAACTTATCCTTCTTTTGCACAGATGTTGGAGTCATGAGTGGGGCAATAATATTCATTCAAGAGGATTTGAAGACAACTGAGGTACAAGAAGAAGTTCTTGTTGGGATTTTGAGTATTATTTCTCTTTTGGGTAGTTTAATTGGTGGGAAAACTTCAGATTTAATTGGTAGAAAGTGGACAATGGCCTTAGCTGCTCTTGTCTTCCAAACTGGAATGGCTATAATGGCAATTGCACCTTCTTTCCAAATATTGATGGCAGGTAGGCTCATAGCTGGGGTTGGTATAGGCTTTGGAGTTATGATTTCTCCAGTGTATATTGCTGAGATATCACCATCTTCTGCTCGAGGTTTCCTCACCTCTATCCCAGAGATTTCCATAAATGTAGGCATCCTGCTTGGCTATGTCTCAAATTATGCATTTTCTGGCCTTTCCTTGCACATAAACTGGAGAATAATGCTGGCTGTGGGGATTTTGCCATCAGTTGTCATAGGGTTTGCACTTTTCATCATCCCTGAGTCGCCAAGGTGGTTGGTGATGCAAAACCGAGTTGAAGAAGCAAGATCAGTGCTGTTAAAAACAAATGAAAATGAGGCAGAGGTAGAGGAGAGACTAGCAGAAATACAACTAGCTGCAGGTATTGGCAATGCAGAAGAGAAATCTGTCTGGCGTCAATTGTTAAGCCCTTCTCCTCCACTTCGCCGGATGTTGATCACTGGCTTTGGAATGCAGTGTTTTGAAATGATCACAGGGATAGATGCAACCGTGTATTATAGCCCTGAAATTTTTAAGGCTGCTGGGATTGAGAGTAACTCTAAAATTCTTGCTGCAACTGTTGCTGTTGGTGTCACGAAAACTGCCTTCATTCCTGTTGCTACATTTCTTATTGACAAGATTGGAAGAAAGCCATTGCTCTATGTGGGCACAATTGGAATGACAATCTGTTTGTTTTCTCTGGGCCTTAGTCTTGCTTTACTGGGAAATGGGCAGTTTAAAATTGCATTGGCAATTTTATCTGTTTGTGGCAATGTAGCCTTCTTTTCTGTTGGAATGGGGCCGGTTTGTTGGGTTCTGATATCAGAAATCTATCCATTGAGGTTTCGTGCTCAAGCATCTGCTCTTGCATCTGTGGGGAATAGAGTGTGTAGTGGCATTGTTTCAATGTCTTTCCTCTCAATCTCACAGAAAATTACATTTGGTGGAACATTCATCATTTTTTCAGCATTGTCAGCTCTTTCTGTTCTCTTTGTTCATACCCATGTTCCAGAGACAAAAGGAAAATCATTGGAGCAGATTGAGTTGCTATTCCAAGATCAACCTGAATGGCAAGTAAGTGAAATGGAAATGGGTGATAGCGAACATCTAGTCCGGTAAAGTGCAAGCAATTGGTGCTTATTGGTTTATTTAACAAGAACAAAATTCTTGGGTTCTTATGATTTGGCATGTGAAGTGGAACAAAAAGGCATTCTGTGTTTATGAATTATGAGAGCTCATGCACATATGCAGGAATTTCCTATCTGCACTGTTCAGATATCTGCAATTTGATCTTTTTCTTTGAGTTGAAACTGACGGGAAGAAGTACAATATTTATTTTGGTTTCACTCTTAAATTCAGGGGCACAACTGAAGTTGTTTTAGCTCAAATCAATTTTTATAAGGTTAAATAATCTTGACACTGATGAGGAGATTTATTCTCAGAATTATATCTTGTATTTAGTCAGGAATTGTGTGTATTATATGCTAGCTAGTTGAGATGTCCTGTGAGAAAGTCTAATGATTTTTATCATAAAATGGATGCAAGCTGGCACAAATATTTATTTGCAAATTGTTGCTTGGTTTATATAGCAAATAAGCTGTTTGAGATTGAAGAGAAGATTGTATCTTTTGAAATATAGCTTCTATTCAATATTTTAGCTTTTGAATTATACTTATATTCAAGCCAGAAATGTTTCTATGTATCATTACTAGGTGATTATCTGAAATTTTCTCTGATGAATTCTAATAAACTTTATCTTCTAATTGATGGAAGCTGTCATGGTAGAAAATTATCACTATTGAAACCCACTTGCAACTTGATGTCTGTGGTTGGTGTTTTGGATTGTTGTTCACAGAATATGGAACCATTTTAAATATGAGGAAAATTGCAACATTCCTCAGATTTTTGTAGGATTGTCTGCTATAAAGCAGGAGGGAGTTTCTTGAAGGTTGATACTACTACAACAAGCTAGTGTTGTAAATTCTAGTACATCCATTGTCCTAGGGCATATTTTCTGCTCACTCAAAATAAATGTAAACGAATCAATTCTCTGAATATGATGTAGTCAGCATGACTCTAAGAGTGAAGGGAGGAAATTTTCAGGGTTTTGTAAGCTTTTAAGTGAGTCCCGGAAGAACCATCAGCAGTTGCAAATGCTGCACATTAATGGCTGCATCAACTTTTGATACTTTTAATATGAAAAAATCCTGCATATTTTATTCAATTCAATCCCACACACATGGTGTTCCTTGAAAACACCACAAACCTTATTTAAAGTAGGATGTCCAATTGTTTACTCTGAAAAATAGAGAGTTGTTTGCTTGAGTCAGAATAATGCTGTTTTGCATAAGGTCTTTGTCTTCTCTGGTTCTGGATTATCTAGGTGTTTCAGAAATCAAAATAAACACAAAAGAAGTGCTTGCAATTTTTTGTGTTTGTATTTTTCAGGGGAGGAAAAGGTAAAAAAAGAAAGAAAAAAAAAAAAAAGGGACAGATGGAACTGGTGGGTATCCCAGAAAGTAGCAGTCCAGAAATGGCTGTTTCTCCAGTCAGCAAGAGTAAGTACAGGAGAGTTGATCCTAAGTTCTCAGAGGATCTTGGTGATGCTTTAAATCATCCTCTTTGGGTGGAGAGGAGTAGAATCACAAGGAAGTATGTTCTTGCCTGTGCCATCTTTGCATCTTTAAACAACATTCTTGTTGGCTATGGTAAGCTCTTTCTCTTTTCATTTCCTGATGGAAGTAATTGTTGCATCTTTAGTTGTTGTTCTTATTGCTATGATTTCTGTATGATCTGCTTCCTTTGTTCTCCTGAAAGGCCACTCTGTTTTCCTCATCAGAGTATGAATTTTGTTACTAGATCTTTGTGATCTCTGTTTGATTTGTGCCATCTATTATCTGTTTAATGGTAAAAAATTGTCAATTACAAGTATAAATATTAAAGAATGAAAGTTATACTTTAATTATGCCCCCTGTATTAATTGATTAATTAAAACATTTAGGTTAATTGCAGCTACAGGATTTGATCTTTTTATTTGCAGATGTTGGTGTCATGAGTGGAGCAATCATATTTATACAGGAGGATTTGAATATAACTGGGGTACAGTAAGAAGTTCTTGTTGGTATTTTAAACATTGTTTCACTTTTGGGCAGTTTAGCTGGAGGAAAGACTTCAGATTTAATTGGTAGGAAATGGACATTGGCTTTAGCTGCTCTTGTCTTTCCAATTGGTGCGGCTACAATGACCATTGCACCTTCTTTCCAAATATTAATGATAGGAAGGCTCTTAGCTGGAGTAGGCATAGGCTTCAGAGTTATGATTGCTCCAGTTTATATTGCAGAAATATCGCCACTTGTCTCTAGAGGCTTTCTCACCTCTTTCCCTGAGATTTTCATAAATGTAGGAATCTTGCTTGGTTATGTCTCAAACTATGCGTTTTCTGGCTTTTCTGTGCACATAAACTGGAGGATAATGCTGGCTGTGGGGATTTTGCCTGTATTCTTCACAGGGTTTGCGCTTTTCTTCATCCCTGAGTCACCAAGGTGGCTGGTGATGCAAAACCGAGTTGACAGAGCAAGGTCAGTGCTGTTGACAACAATTGAAAATGAGGAAGAAGTTGAAGAGAGAATCATGGAAATACAACGAGCTGCTGGAACAGTTAATGCAGATGAGTATGAAGGGAAAGTTTTATGGTGTGAACTGTTAAGCCCTTCTAGTTCTGTTTGCCGAATGCTGGTTGCTGGTCTTGGAATCCAGTGTTTCCAACAGATCACAGGAATAGATTCAACTGTGTATTACAGCCCTGAAATTTTCAAGGATGCTGGGATTGAGAGTAACTCCAGTCTCCTTGCTGCAACTGTTGCTGTGGGTGTCACAAAAACTGCCTTTATATTGGTTGCTATATTTCTTATTGACAAACTAGGAAGAAAACCTTTGCTCTATGTGAGCACAATTGGAATGACTGTCTGTCTGTTTACCCTGGGCCTTACTCTTGCTTTACTGGGAAAAGGGCAGCTTGCAATAGCATTGGCAATTCTATGTGTGTGTGGAAATGTAGCTTTCTTTTCTGTGGGATTGGAGCCTGTTTGCTGGGTTGTAACATCCGAAATCTTCCCCCTGAGGTTGCGTGCTCAAGCATCTGCTCTTGGAGCAGTGGGTAATAGTGTGCAGTGGTTTTGTTGCCATGACTTTCCTGTTCCTCTCACGGGAAATTACAGTTGGAGGAACGTTCTTTCTTTTTACAGCACTGTCAGCACTTTCTGTTCTCTTTGTTCACACCCTTGTTCCAGAGACTAAAGGAAAATCCTTGGAGCAGGTTGAGTAGCAGTTTCAAGATCAACCTGAATGGCAGGGAAGTGAATGGAAATGAGTGATGCCAATCGTCACATATATAGTTTTGGAAAGTATGAATAATTGTGCTTAGGAAGCTGTTTATCAAGAAAAGCTTTTCAGATTCTTATGTGATTTGGCGTGTGGAGTGAAATGTAAAGGCATTCTATCTTAATGACAGCTTATAGGCACTGGAATTGGATTATAAATAGAATGCCTCTTGTCCTGCACCCTTAAGGTATCTTTGATTCAACTTTATTTAGCAAGTTAATAACTGAAGGGAGAAATTATAATGTTTATTTGCATTAGAAGTATGTCTAAAGTTGTTATAGCTGTACGTCAATCCTTTTAAGGAGAATTTGGCTTAGAGAAGAATGTTCACCTTGGACTTGTGGCTTGTATTCCGGATAGAAAATCTCTATATCAGTACAATTTGATTTGTTCTGTGACAAATTGCAATGAAGTTTATCATCCAATTGATCAAACATACCACTAATATTTACTATAGAAAGCTGTATTCTGGTACAGGTTGTTTGTTTTTAGCTTTCCATATGAATTCAGAGGTGCTGTTTCTATTCAAAGAATGTTGTTTCTCATCGTTCATGCCTGTCTAGCTGTAATGTTGCTTGTTTTGCTTTTCTATTGCATGGAGCATGCTGCCTGTTGCCTGTTTTGCTTTTCTATTGCCTGGAGCATGCTGCTCTGGTGCTGCCTTTGTTCTAATTGGATACTTCTGTTGCGTTGGTGTCTGTTTTGCTAGTATTTTCCTATTATATAGATTGCAAGTAGATAGCACATGAGAAGAAAAAAGTCACATGTTACTCTCATTTAGTTTACCAGTTAGTTTCCAGAGGCAGGAGTGGGTTTTGCACGCCAAAATGCTTTATTCTTCGAATTGAAAAATTGGAGAAAAGAATATTTTTGAATCTCCATTATCTAATTCAAACTATTAATGCTGAAGAATTGTCAAAATGGCTGCCTCTCTGACATGGATGAGGTCAATTCTGACCCATGAATGGGTTCTGAATTTTCAAAGAGTATGAAATTGTAATAGGTTCTTTTCTCTTATTAAAACCCCATCCATGTTGTTATTCTGGGCGTTAGTGCTTGCTTTGTGACTGTTTCTTCTGTCAGAGAAGGAAAAGGAAGCAAGATGGGGCTGGTGGGCACCCAAAAAGTGGGAATGGAGAAACGGCTGTTTTGCTGGGGAGGAAGAATAAGTACAGCTACATGAGAAGGGATTCTTAGCACTCAGAGGATTTTGAAAATGCTTTAAATCACCTTCATCATCAGGTGGCGAGGAGTAGAAACACCAGGAAGTGTTTTCTTGCCTGCGCTGTTTTTGTATCTCTGAACAATGTTCTTCTTTCACTATGTTATGCTCTTCCTCTCTTCATCTCCATGGAAGTAATAGTAACATCTTCTTCTGTTATTGTTATTGCCCATCATTTCTGCATGAAATGCGTCCTTTGTTTGCTTGAATGCTATTTAGTTTTCTTAATTTCTATGAATATTGGATTTTATTTCTTGTTTCTTGTCATGTCTTGCCAGCCTAAAATTAGTGGGAAGAGGATAATGAATTTGCAATCCTCGAATGTTTCAACAAAATAAAGTTTATCAATGTTGTTCTGATGAGTTTCCCGGCTCTCCTATTTATTTTCTAAACCTTTTTTTTTTTTTTTTTTTGTTTCTCTTTACATTGAATTTTATGGATTTCAAAACTTTGTCAAGTTTACTCATTTACTTTCCCATCAAAAAAGTTTATTCCTTTAGTTTGATAACATAATCCACCCCAAATACTTGCTTTGATTTATCAGTTCATTGGTGAGTTCATTTCAGTTGAGGAATGTAAGTAGAAATATAGAATTGACAGTCCCCTCTTGAGTCTTGCTTGAATCCCTGAAATTTCTCCCCTAAATGATATGTAAACACCTGTATCTTCGTTTATTACATCCCTTGATTTCCCCTTATTAGATTAGGATTCTTTTTCACTGTAATTAGAGATACTGTCCACATTTAGAATAGGTGAGTGGTAATGTTATTGTCAAATCTTTGATCACTAATGTCACATTTTTTTTATTTTAATTGATTATTTTATTATTTAATTTGTTAAAATTTTAAGAAAAAGTTAAATGTAAAGTGGTAATAAATAATTATATTAAAAGAATATGACATTAATTATTTAAAATACGGTAATAACCTCCACTCTTATGTGAGCTCTACAGTTTTCATTCATATATTATCACTGAAACCTTGAGTCTTTAATCTTCATCTCATTCAAATTTGCAGCTACCAGAGAGTCTTCAAATCTGCCCTTCCCGAAAGGATGACTGATGGTGACCCAGAAATGAGTTTAGAATTTTCAGTCTGAAACTATATGGTGTTCTTTTCGCTGCAGCTGAAATTTTAAACTAACAAGCAGTTTCTTTTCTTATAATTTTATTTAAATTGCAGCTAAGGGTGAACGATCTCTTCTTCAGTAAAGGAATAATCTCATTTGTTGGCTTTCTAAATCAGAGTTGCTCTTCCCAACAATTTTGGATTTTTTAGAACTGGAAGCAACACTTTTACTTTAAGCATAAGCAAATCAGAGTTGCTCTTCTCAACAATTTTGGATTTTTTAGAACTGGAAGCAACACTTTTACTTTAAGCATAAGCTTGAGAACCCAGAAAATTATTAAAAGAATATGAGATTAGCCCTTTACTAATAGGCTATTCTCACATTCTATCAATATTTCAAACACTCCCCCCATCCGTGCTCTTTGGTTGAAATCGACACACAACATTATTTTAATGTGGGATGTCAAATTGCTTCCCTTGATAGACAAAAACTTGCTTGATTGCTTGTACACAAACTTTTTAGCCCACTTGCCTGCAGGTCTCCCCTTCTTATCTAGTTTTCTTTTTCAGTACTGAAATCACAATGATTTATATCTGGGTATCTAAGCATTCAAAATAGTCCCAAAAAACTGCTGTGCCGGCCTGTGTCCGTTTTATGTTTTATGTTTTTGTATTTGTCCAGGAAGGAAAGGAATAGAGATGGTGGATGTCCCAAAGAATGGCATTGGAGAAATGAATGTTTCTCACGGGAGCAAGAATAAGTACGGGAGAATGGATTCTGAGCTTTTAGATGATTTGGGTGATGCTTTCATTCAACATAATCATCAGGTGGAGAGGAAGAGGATCACAATGAAATTTGTGATCACTTGCGGCATTTTTGCATCTTTGAATCATGTTCTTCTTGGCTATGGTAAGCTCTATCTCTCTTTTTGTTGTAACACCTATGCAGTCAACAAATTATCCAAGTCAGCATTAGGCAATCCATCCATCTCCATAGGAACCCAACCTTGGTCAGCAAGGTGGATAGCAAGCCTTTTCACCAAACAAAGTCAACCCTTCACTTAGCACTTCGCCACTTTCGGCTTCATCGCTCATTTGCTCTATAGAAGTTGTTAACAGAAATATTCGTAATAGCTTCTTTTGTTACTATTGATTTCCACATGATCTGCTTGCTTTAGTGTTTTGGTGCTTGAAGGCTGCTTTGTTTTCTCTATGGCAGTACGGAATTGATAGTGACTTTTTTGTTTCCTAATTCTAAATTTAGCAAGAAAAGATCAGTTAATTTGAATTCCTTGAAATGTTTTAATCTGTTCTTGTTATTGTTTAAATGAGATTTCCACTCTTCTTTAGTAGTTTTCCCATTTGATATTTTCTCCTGAACTGTACCACTTGAGGTCAGTGGAGAAAATTTTCATATTCAGCAAAAAGAGTGCTGAGACAGGAGAGCTTTGTAATCTATCTTTCAGTTCCGTAAATTTTCTGAATCAACCCTTGGATCTAATGGTTAAAAATGAATTTATTAATTAAATCACTGTGAAGCTGAGCAACTTAGCCATTTAATCTGCAGATATAGGAGTGATGAGTGGGGCAATCATATTCATACAGGAGGATTTGAGGATAACTGAGGTACAGCAAGAAGTTCTTGTTGGGATTTTGAGCATTGTTTCTCTTGTGGGCAGTTTAATTGGTGGAAAAACAGCAGATTTAATTGGTAGAAAGTGGACAATGGCCTTAGCTGCTATTGTTTTCCAAATTGGTGCAGCCACAATGACAGTTGCACCTTCCTTTGAAATATTGATGGTAGGAAGGCTCTTGTGTGGGGTTGGCATAGGTTTGGGAGCTATGATTGCTCCCGTGTATATTGCAGAGATATCACCAAGTGCTGTGAGAGGCTTTCTCACCTCTTTTCCAGAGATTTTCATAAATTTAGGAATCTTGCTCGGTTATTTCTCAAATTACATGTTTTCTGATCTTTCAGTGCACATAAACTGGAGGATAATGCTAGCTGTGGGGATTTTCCCTTCAGTCTTCATAGGAATTGCACTTTTCATCATCCCTGAGTCACCAAGGTGGTTGGTGATGCAAAACCGAGTTGAAGAAGCAAGATCAGTGCTGCTAAAAACAAATGAAAATGATGAAACAGTGGAAGAAAGACTTGCTGAAATACAACTAGCTTATGGAATTGGTAATGCAGATAAGCATGAAGACAAAGCTGTTTGGAATGAGCTGTTAATGCCTGCCCCTTCTGTTCGGATGATGCTGGTCACCGGACTTGGAATCCATTTTTTCCAACAGATCACAGGGTCCGATGCAATTGTGTATTATAGCCCTGAAATTTTCAAGGTTGCTGGCTTTAAGAACAACTCCAACCTTCTTGCTGCGACTGTTGCAATGGGTGTTGCAAAAACTGCCTTTATATTGGTTGCTACTTTTCTCATTGACAAACTTGGGAGAAAACCCTTGCTCTATGTAAGCACAATAGGAATGACCATCTGTCTGTCTACTTTGGGCTTTAGCCTTGCTTTACTGGGAAAAGGGCAGCTTGGAATTGCATTGGCTGTTTTATGTGTTTGTGGGAATGTAGCTCTCTTTTCTGTGGGAATGGGACCTATTTGTGGAGTTCTGTCATCGGAAATCTACCCCTTGAGGCTGCGCGCTCAAGCATCTGCTCTTGGATCTGTGGTTAATAGAGTGTGCAGTGGCTTTGTTTCTATGTCTTTCCTCTCACTCTCACGGAAAATTACATTTGGTGGAACATTCTTCATTTTCTCGGCGTTGTCAGCTCTTTCTGTTTTCTTCGTTCACACCCTTGTTCCGGAGACTAAAGGAAAGTCATTAGAGCAGGTTGAGTTGCTATTCCAAGATCAACCTAAACTGCAGGGAAGCAAAATAGAAACTGGAGATGCTGAGCATCTAGCTCACAATTCATAACTGAAGCATGGTAATGTCCATTCAACAAGGAGAAAAAAAATTGTTCATTTCTTTTGATTTGGTGTGGGAGTAGAAACAGAAGGGATTCTATTTCAACGTGTAAGAATTGGATAATGAAGCTTCTTGCCTGAGAGGCTGACTCCCCTCAGGTATATCTAGAATCGAGGTGATTCTATGAGTTGATAACCAAATAGAGAAACCACAATGTTTAATTTAGACTGTTAGCCATACTGTTAATGTTGGAAGCATACCTTATACTGTTTTTTAGCTATACATTGTAGATCTGGTACAATCAAGGGAATCAAAAAATAGGTCACAGTCCCCAACTCCCCATATTATAAGGATGCACTGGAAACAAAGTGTGTAATATGTAGTTGTATATCAATGATCTGATAATGTGAATGGAAGAAATTTGATTGATTTTTTTAAATAAAATTTTGAATTTTTTTAAATAAAATTTTGAATTTGAGTCTTGTAAATGAAAAAATAAATTATAAGGTTCGATCGAACTTAACTTCAAATTAATCAGAATTTAATGTGATTTTTGAATATCGAGAATTAGTACAAACAAAAAAAATGTGTAGTGGCATACATGGAGGAAATGTGAATTGCAAATAAATAAGAGTTGTTCATGTGCTGGAGAGATTTTTTCCGTAACAACGCTAGTTAGTCTATGAACATTAATCCCAAGTAACACACATAATTCAATTAAACGCTAGTCAATGAACAT